CTCTTCCTGTGTAAATCTTTCTTTTGTTCATATTTCGCTCTAGTTTAATCGAATTAGAATTAAAAATTAGGAGCCTGTTTCTTTCATAAATATTCCAATCTTCCAGGAATTGAAACTTTAGTAAGATCCCATATTTCTACAGTAAAGATTTCATTAATAAAATACGTAATTGTGAGGGCGAATTATTAGTCAAATTACAAATTTTAAAACTCCACCCGCTAAGTGCTAAAAATCTGTGTCCTAATTAACATGTTTTATTAAGTACCAATATTGTTATCAAGCAAATATACACACATTAAACACATAAAAAAAGACGACTACTTTAAGTCTATCTTCGTCACAATAACCATGAATATTATTCAAACTGGCTTTAACGGTCACTGGTTTATAAATACTGTTCTTTTTGTTCTTGCGTCATGTCATAGAAATCACCTTAATGAAAAGTACTTTCATATCATTTTAGTCATGCAAAGTATTTGGATCTACCAAATCTGGAAATTGTAAAGAAGATTTTTTAATTGTTGTCAATTTGGCCCCGCCCATCAGCCCCTGGAGGTCAGTCATGGTCAAAATATACATGCTATAATATTGTCATCCTTAACCAATAACTCAAAGCAAATTTGAATTAGTTTCATTGAAATCATAGAAGTCGAAAATGTTGATTGTTTACGACGCGCGAAGGACGACGAACGATGATGGGCCGAAAAGATCGACACAAAAATGTATTAGGTCACTTCAGATGTTGTCTAATATGTCCTACAAAAGGTTAACTGTTTCTTGAGAAATTCCTTAGTAGAAATTCCGACATGTTCTATTTTTATAATTACCTCTTGAAGAAATTGTTCATTTATTTATTTCCTACACCGATAATATTTCAAATATGTAGCTTGTACTATTAAGAAACAATAAATAACTTACTATGGCATACATCTACCTGAGTAGGTCACATACCTCCATAAACATGTTGTTGTTTTTCAGGCATTGATGAAATTCAATGTTTTCAGCAATCAAATTGAAGAGAAATTGATTATTTATCTAGAACGTGTAAACTAAAAACATATTGTGTTATTTAAGCAAGTCAGCGAATTTTTAAAAAATGTTGATCACCAGAAAAATTCGATGTACATGTAGGGAAAAAAATAAAAACAAACAGGTTACAATTTGATGCATAACCTGACGAAATGGCATCTCCTTTGAGGTAGCAAAAGGCAGAATCATTCATCACCATGTAATTAGTGAGATGAAAGCTGTCAGGGAAGCCACATATAACATCTCCTCTTTATGAGTTTCGCATTACGAGACATAAAAAGGCGACTGTAATAAGTAGTGGTTTACAGCTAGGTTAACGATAACAAATGCAAAATGCTTAAAAAGATTAACATCTGTTCTTGGTGATAATTTCAAAAATGTGTATATTACGAAGTATTCGGGACAACGAAAGTAAGGCAACTTAGCCAGGTATGATAAATTTGACTTGGAATATTCCGACATGTTGAGAATGTTTTCTTCGTTTATACAGAAATATTTACTTCGAGTCTGATTGTTCATAGAAACTATAAAAATAGATGAGTAGAAGATATCAGGTTTGTCTACCAGAAAATGCAATTATCTGTGGAGGTAGAGCCGTCTAGGACACCAAAACAACCCTATAAAAGATGTATTGTCAAGCAGTGTTTCCTATCGGCCTTGTACGAGGAAAACATCTATTAGAATCCTATTCTTGTGAATAAATTATATCTGCGTATTATAGCTATGTAAAATGGTAAGTGATGGTTGTGTCTCATAGTCAAATGATGGTTGTATCTTGTGGTTAATGTGTGAAATGTTCAGATGTTTGTGCCTTAAAGAATGTGTTTCATAGTTATTGTGTGAAATGAACAGATGCTGTTTGTGTCGGATATCTATTGTGTGTAATGAGAAGACGATGTTTGTGTCTCGTAGTGATTGTGTGAAAGTCTTTCAGATACTTGACCCTGACTTCTGTTTAGGAACAACGTTAAACCATGTGAACGTATTAGACAAAATGTTTGGTGGTATGCGATGTACTTTTAATCTGTCTTGATGAAGGGAAATAACACCAATTTCGGTATACATATGATGGATTAGTCACATTATTGATGTAAATCAAGAACTAATGTCATTCAATCGATATTGTGATAGCTTCTAATCTAACAATAACCTTTCCGATTTCCCTAGATTTCAATGTGCTTACCTGAGATGTCAAATTTGAGATAAAATAAAACCACAAAGTCTTTTGATAACACGATATGAAGTTTAACAGCTCAATTAACCTAGAAACGTTTCCGTAAATATGTTGTAAATTTAGCCCCGAGAAAAACATTACAATTTGATGACTGATATAACATATGAACCCGGCTTATCATAATGATAATTTTGGTCCATGATTTTATTGCATGATGCATGGAAAGTAATTATATCTTGGCATACTATCGTATATCGTATATCGTGATGTTTTTGCGCTGTATATATTGTAATAAAATCTAAAAATGTAAAAGTCCTTTTTTTTTCCGTAATTTTATTGTTCGCGAAATTTGCAATTTAAAGAATTTGAATGAAAATAGTTTACATTATTATCAGTGTAAATTCTAACATCAACCGGAGATCTAAGTTACCAGTCATACTAAATGAAGATAAAAGTTCGACATCATCAAATATTTATTCATCATAGAAGTATTAACTTCAATTTCAACATCCGATAGGCTGATCACGATTTACTATTGGTAAGCAGCCAGGCAACACGATACAGAATTTATGCGACGAGTCAGCATTTTGTTTGATGTACTACGTTGTAATGCCTTGGTAGCAACTTAAATGCAATTCTAGACAAGGGTGGTCACACATGTCAGGCGTAGGCATTATGTTCACACACTATATGTAATGCCTTGGTCCTAGACAAGGGTGGTCACACATGTTACTAACACTATATTAAGAGACATGACCACCACATTTACATCACACAAAATCATCGAACCGTTACAGATTTCAACCGGCATTTAAACGTCCAGAAAACACCCTCCTGAACATTTGACTTTCATAAACCATATTTCACTGAACTTGATATACCTGCAGTCGATCAAAATCTAAAGTATATATTTGAATATCTATATAGAGAATATATCGAAGTGATGCTTTTGTGAAACGTAACTGCGTGCTAATGAACGAGCCAGAAAACAGATTTCAAATCAAGAAGATATGATATCTTTGGGAAAAAATTAAAACAAAACTGTTAAAAGTATGCTATAAAGATTAAAATTTATGAAATGCCAATTAGCCAAAACTCACTGATAAAATTTAGACGTATTAGCTACCTTATTAAAGATACATCATTATTACTCTTACTGGCAATTACATATCTGAAATTTTGACAGCTATTAGTAGGCGTATCCTAAAAGGTCACCTGAGGTAAATAGGTCACCCAGAGTGGAAACGTCACTGAATTTTACCTTTGGCATTCGGTTATAACACAATGCTTATAAAAGGTCAAAATCTTGAAGGTTTGGTTTCATACTTTTATTTACTGATTTTCTTTATCAAAATATTGATAATTCTGAATCATACACCATAGATACATCCTATAATAGATTTCTAGTGATTTCATCACATCAGGTTTTAAATTTCGTGAAAGAATCAAGAATAGTAAAACGGACGTATAAGTTTCATGCTAATAAAGCCAGCCTTGCAATGAGGCCATTTTGCAGTTAAAATTCAGATTCATTTTCAGATTGAACGGCTGTGTGAGAGCTCTTCACCAGACCCTTTTTTTGTAGTAATGGCTGTCCATGTATTCTAATTGCCTCTAATGACTATCTACAGGTTATGTGCACCAAAGATTGCTGATGTTGTTGGGGTTGTCCACCCCAATCCCTCAAGCCTTATCCTCCTCACCATAACTCGGCTTCCCAAACACTCTAACCTTATATTTCATATTATTTATGTTTACTTTAATAATAACCTGTTACCCGATGGGGGTATACCTTTGATGAAGCAAATCTGGACCAATGATAAATAGAGCGGCAACTTGAATATCTACGTTCCATCAGGATTGGCTTCAGTTCAGCTGTATACCCTATCTAGTAACAGTTGTTTTTATTTATGTTCCCGTTCTCATGAACCTATTAAAAAAAAAACAAAATAAAAACCAGGAATACGCCGTTTAAATTTCCCGCTTATCAAAACACTGACGTCAGCAAGTCCAAATCCGAGAACAGCCGTAATAATATAGTTCCTCGTGTCACCATAAATAGAAATTGTATAAAATAACATAATCACAAATGTAACTTGATTATTGATATAAAAGTGCAAACTCCCGCAATTTTACAAATAATTACATTATTTGACAATGTATGTTTTCGTTCGTTTGAAATAAAACTGTGCGTTGTTTTTTTTTATCAAAAAAGTGTTGCGGCTGTCGGTCTAATTTCATGAAACACTGAGTATACGTTTTATTTTCTCGGGAATTAGATACGTTTTTCGTGACATGGAGTGGATTGATGCGATTTTCAACACGGAATAACCATGGAAATTAGGAATGGAAGTCGATCCTTTCAGAAAATAACGATAGTTTGTGTGTAATGTATTTGTAATTTGGACCGTTAGATCGACGTCGGAGGCCTACAAGTGAACTGCAGCAGACAAACTTGGTAATCAAGTATGTTATGGTGATTAAAATGATTTTGTGGCGAAATTACAATCTTTGGCGATGAATTTGTTCTGTAGCTTTGTAAAGTTATTTATGTTTTGGGAAAGTCTTACTTAAGTCCAGTAACTTCGGAAATGCCAGTACACGGTATATTGATACCGAATGAAGATGACCGGAGGCCAGTTTCGTCTACTCGGACGACATCTAGATTAATTGATTCCAATACCGATCGCATCACTATAAATATATCACGCAGTCTCATGAACTACAATTTAACACGTTAATGATTTATAGACTAATACAACACAGAATGTAAGTATTACACTTATATCTACCAGAACTACTTTTTTGGTCTCACATTGACCACCGAATGTGTATCCATACACTTGATCGCAATAGAGCTAACAGTGCCACGGGAAGAAGGTTGCGAGGAAGCCCGTGAAAGGAAGAAAAAGTATGATGAGCTGATGGCGAAGTGCAGAGAGAGGGGATACACTGTGTGGCTATTTCCAGTGGAGGGTGGCTGCAGAGGGTTCCCGGCCCAATTCTTATGGAGGATGCTGCAGACACTAGGGATCACAGGAAGAACTCTAAGTGCAGTCATCAAACGTTTGTCAGAAGCTGCAGAGAAAGCATAGACGAACAGTGGTTTGGCCACCACTGCTGACCCACCAGCCGGAGGATGTTGTGGTTTAGGGTCGAAACATCTGAAGAGGGCTGGATACCACCTGAATGTCATAGATAGTAGAATAAAACCATCTGTAAATTATCAATGATCACATAGGCGTTCATAACCTCATATACTCATATCTGGTTTCTATAGAACTAAACGAGAAACTGGTGGTAGAATGGGAATATATAGTGTTACGTTCTGCTAAAGGGACAAACTTTGAATTTTTCAACTGATTTTCGTTATTGGGACAATAATTTTGCGTATTTATCAAACTCTCTTTATCTTTTACTGTAAGTAAAACAAAACCTGCTAAAATAATTAGCTTAGATTCCTTTAACTAAGTACAGATGCCACACACGAGCCACAGCACGAGTATGTATGTCAAATAGAGAGAATAACACAGAGAGGTGTGACGTCACACCAAAAAAGACAGAAAACAAACTTTTACAGAATATTATCAAGATTGAATTGGTTCTAAAATGTCTGTTGACCAAACCCAATTAATGATGAATAGGCAGCTTTACAACATTCATAAACATACATCATTATTTCTCTTTCTGGCAATTACATATCTCAAATTTTGACAGATATCAGTAGGCGTATCCAAAAAGGTGAAAAGGTCACCGGGGGTAGATAGGTCACACTGAATGGAAAGGTCACTTAAGTTAACCTTCGACAATCGGTTATAACAGAGTTTGTTAAAGATTGATTTAATGACTTTTTTTTATTGCCTTGAACATTATTCAGAGTTCGACATTATAAACATTGAACATCTTTTACAATAGATTTCCTGGGATTTCTGTACAACATTTTTTAAAGTTCATTACTTGGGTATAAAGTATATTTTGACCCAGACTGTTAATACTTGGGTATGAAGTATATTTTCCCAGACTGTTGATGCTTGGGTATGAAGTTTATTTTGTCCCAGACTGTTGATACATGGGTATGAAGTATATTTTGTCCCAGACTGTTGATACATGGGTATGAAGTATATTTTGTCCCAGACTGTTGACTTGGGTATGAAGTATATTTTGTCCCAGACTGTTGATACATGGGTATGAAGTATATTTTCCCAGACTGTTGATACTTGGGTATGAAGTATATCTTGTCCCAGACTGTTGACTTGGGTATGAAGTATATTTTGTCCCAGACTGTTGATACTTGGGTATGAAGTATATTTTGTCCCAGACTGTTGATACTTGGGTATGAAGTATATTTTGTCCCAGACTGTTGACTTGGGTATGAAGTATATTTTGTCCCAGACTGTTAATACTTGGGTATGAAGTATATTTTGTCCCAGACTGTTAATGCTTGGGTATAAAGTATATTTTGTCCCAGACTGTTGATACTTGGGTATAAAGTATATTTTGTCCCAGACTGTTAATACTTGGGTATAAAGTATATTTTGTCCCAGACTGTTGATACTTGGGTATAAAGTATATTTTGTCCCAGACTGTTGATACTTGGGTATAAAGTATATTTTGTCCCAGACTGTTGATACTTGGGTATGGGTATATACTTGGGTAGTATTTTGTTTCAGATTGTTGACACTATGGGCAGTATATTTTGTCCCAGACTGTTGATACTTGGGTATGAAGTATATTTTGTACCAGACTGAATACTTGGGTATCCAAGTATATTTTGTCCCAGACTGTTAATACTTGGGTATCCCAGACTGTTAATACTTGGGTATGAAGTATATTTTGTCCCAGACTGGATACTTGGGTATAAAGTAATTTGTGTTGTACCAGACTGTTGATGCTTGGGTATATAACTATTTTGACAGACTGTTATATGGTATAAAGTATTTTTGTCCCAGAGATGGGGTATATCCCAGACTGTTAACTTGGGTATAAATATTTTGTCCCACTTGTACAGATGTATAAAGTATATTTTGTCCCAGACTGTTATTTGTTAAGCAAAAACCAGCAAAGCAATTAGCTCTGATTGACATTATGTTAAGTATGATGTACAAAATATGCATGTTTTTGGCAAGTTAACGACAACCTCTATCATGGCATTTCTCCGGGGTCAGTGAATGTCTCGAACTAGGTCAACCAGACGCTTGTGCATATGCTAATGATGGACGTCACGAGGTGTCTAACAATACATAGGTATGTTTTATGTATATATCTGAATACTTCTACAGATCTTCACTAAGTTGTGGCTTAATGGAACATTAAGGACAAAGTATTAAAGAGCGAACAACTGTCCGTGTTTATGATATAAATAAATGATTAAAAACAAAGAAAAGAGAGCGTATGACGTCACTAGTAAGCGGTATGTTATAAGGAGTTCGGTATATGTAAAAAGTCAGTTAAAATAATTCTATTAATGATGTAAAAATCATTAACAACAATCATAAACATTCATCATTATTACTCGTTACTCATGCCTATCACTTATCCTTACCACAAATGACTATCACTTATCCTTACCACAAATGACTATCACTTATGTTTACCACAAATGACTATCACTTATCCTTACCACAAATGACTATCACTTATGTTTACCACAAATGACTATCACTTATCCTTACCGCAAATGACTATCACTTATCCTTACTACAAATGACTATCACTTATGTTTACCACAAATGACTATCACTTATCCTTACCACAAATGACTATCACTTATGTTTACCACAAATGACTATCACTTATCCTTACCGCAAATGACTATCACTTATCCTTACCACAAATGACTATCACTTATCCTTACTACAAATGACTATCACTTATGTTTACCACAAATGACTATCACTTATCCTTACCACAAATGACTATCACTTATGTTTACCACAAATGACTATCACTTATCCTTACCACAAATGACTATTACTTATCCTTACTACAAATGACTATCACTTATGTTTACAACAAATGACTATCACTTATCCTTACCGCAAATGACTATCACTTATCCTTACAACAAATGACTATCACTTATGTTTACCACAAATGACTATCACTTATCCTTACCACAAATGACTATCACTTATGTTTACCACAAATGACTATCACTTATCCTTACCACAAATGACTATCACTTATCCTTACCACAAATGACTATCACTCATCCTTACCACAAATGACTATCACTTATGTTTACCACAAATGACTATCACTTATCCTTACCGCAAATGACTATCACTCATCCTTACCACAAATGACTATCACTTATGTTTACCACAATTGACTATCACTTATGTTTACCACATCACTTATGTTTACCACAAATGACTATCCTTACCACAAATGAATATCACTTATCCTTACCACAAATGACTATCACTTATGTTTACCACAAATGACTATCATATATGTTTACCACAAATGACTATCACTTATCCTTACCACAAATGACTATCACTTATGTTTACCACAAATGACTATCACATATGTTTACCACAAATGACTATCGCTTATCCTTACCACAAATGACTACCACTCATCCTTACCACAAATGACTATCGCTTATCCTTACCACAAATGACTATCACTCATCCTTACCACAAATGACTATCACTTATGTTTACCACAATTGACTATCACTTATCCTTACCACAAATGACTATCACTTATGTTTAACACAAATGACTATCACATATGTTTACCACAAATGACTATCACTTATCCTTACCACAAATGACTATCACTTATGTTTACCACAAATGACTATCACTTATCCTTACCGCAAATGACTATCACTTATCCTTACCACAAATGACTATCACTTATGTTTACCACAAATGACTATCACTTATCCTTACCACAAATGACTATCACTTATGTTTACCACAAATGACTATCACTTATCCTTACCACAAATGACTATCATCACTTATCCTTACCAACAAATGACTATCACTTATGTTTACCACAAATGACTATCACTTATCCTTACCACAAATGACTATCACTTATGTTTACCACAAATGACTATCACTTATCCTTACCACAAATGACTATCACTTATGTTTACCACAAATGACTATCACATATCATTACCACAAATGACTATCACTTATCCTTACCACAAATGACTATCACTTATGTTTACCACAAATGACTATCACATATGTTTACCACAAATGACTATCGCTTATCCTTACCACAAATGACTATCACTTATGTTTACCACAAATGACTATCACTTATCCTTACCGCAAATGACTATCACTCATCCTTACCACAAATGACTATCACTCATCCTTACCACAAATGACTATCACTTATGTTTACCACAATTGACTATCACTTATCCTTACCACAAATGACTATCACTTATGTTTAACACAAATGACTATCACATATGTTTACCACAAATGACTATCGCTTATCCTTACCACAAATGAATATCACTTATGTTTACCACAAATGACTATCGCTTATCCTTACCACAAATGACTATCACTCATCCTTACCACAAATGACTATCACTTATGTTTACCACAATTGACTATCACTTATCCTTATCACAAATGACTATCGCTTATCCTTACCACAAATGACTATCACTTATGTTTACCACAAATGACTATCATATATGTTTACCACAAAAGACTATCACTTATCCTTACCACAAATGACTATCACTTATGTTTACCACAAATGACTATCACATATGTTTACCACAGATGACTATCGCTTATCCTTACCACAAATGACTACCACTCATCCTTACCACAAATGACTATCGCTTATCCTTACCACAAATGACTATCACTCATCCTTACCACAAATGACTATCACTTATCCTTACCGCAAATGACTATCACTCATCCTTACCACAAATGACTATCACTTATGTTTACCACAATTGACTATCACTTATCCTTACCACAAATGACTATCACTTATCCTTACCACAAATGACTATCACTTATCCTTACCACAAATGACTATCACTTATCCTTACCACAAATGACTATCACTTATGTTTACCACAAATGACTATCACTTATCCTTACCGCAAATGACTATCACTCATCCTTACCACAAATGACTATCACTCATCCTTACCACAAATGACTATCACTTATGTTTACCA